TAGGTGGCAATATAAATTCAACGAATGAATAAATAAATAATTTAAAACCTCGAAAGCCAAGGGTTCTGCAGCAACACTAGCCAGAGTTCCCCCATTTTTCTAGATTGTGAAAAATCAATTTTCTACAGTCACAGGTTGAAAACATTCAGTGCTGAAATTGTTTTGAAGCGTAGGAACGGACAGCTTTGCAAATCAGTAGGGTTGTTGGAAAAAGAAGGTTCCATTTTTGGCTCTTAAGACATCCACCCCATGGCAGAACAGCAATTGATGTCATCTTTGGAAGGAAGATGTATGTCTCTCTCTGTGTATAATTATTTGAATAGAGATAGATAGATAGATAGATAGATAGATAGATAGATAGATAGATAGATAGATAGATAGATAATTTTTATTGAACAATTTTTAACAAAGAACCATAAGAGAACAGATATAAACAGATATAAAAATAATAGAGAGAAAAAAATAGAAATAGAAAAGAAAAGGAATTTTATAAAGAAGCAACTTCCAACCTTCTTGATTAATTATAATAATTATAGATACATTTATATTTTGCCTTTTCTCTCTTAAGTCACATCATAATTTACTTTTTTCCATAAGTTATCCTTTCTAAAACCCATAAATCATTAATTTATCTATTCATCTATTAATCAGTTCTCTGTTGTGAGTATTTCAGTCTTTCCACTGTTGTGCATATAATAATCTATTATTTGAACTATTCCTAATATCAGGCAGAAAAATAAATTGTACAGCTGATTAGCACATGCCTTCCAGCCCTTACTTTTTTTTTTCCTGTATGATTTGCTGACTACCAGAAAACACTTTGATGTAACCCTCTAGAAAACTTGCTTTCACAAGTTCAGAGACAGGAAACAAAACCACACAGTAGTCAGGTTTTGCATAGCACAACTTGGCAACTTTAAGACTTGTGGACTTAAACTCCCAGAATCCCTCAGTACAATCCTATAGCACAATAGTTGTGTTCCAGAAATCCTCATGCTATGCAAAATCATGCAATATGTGTTATGGGAAAAACAGAGTTAGGGGTCAATCAGATCACAAATGAAAACATATTTATAACCCAAACATTACTAAGCAGAATAAATAATCCTGATAGCACCTACATTTGAGGAAGGCACTTCATCAAGATTTTCTGCCTTTTGCTGTTTTTGTTGTTGGGAGTTCTGCAGATACTGCTAACACTTCCTCTTTTATTATAATAAAACTTTATACTGATCTCTTCTTTATTTGCGCGACTGTCCAAATACATAATAGATCTTCCATTTCTTTACTTATTTTTCCTATATGTTTGGTAGCACTTGGACTTGTTCTTGTCTGTAGCGCCATCTCATTTAACCCAATAGCGCATGTATCTTTCAGGAAGCTCCCATTTTGGCCTGCAATGGGCCAGGGGAGGCCCTCAGAGAGTCAAATGGAGTGTCGGAGGGTCAAATCCAGCCCTTGAAGGGTCCATTTTGGCCTGCAATGAGCCATGTGAGGCCTCCGGATGCTCAAACAGTGCTTCTGAGGGTTGGACCCGCCCCCAGAAGCTCCATTTCAGATGGCAATGTGTCAGGCGAGACCTCTGGGTGCCGGAATGGGGCTTCTGAGGGGCAGATCCACCCCTTATAAGCTCCATTTTGGCCAGCAATATACAAGACAAATGTTGCAGAGCCTCTGAAGTTATTCATAAGGGTGAACAACTGTTATGGTGCTACAAGATTTGTAGTTTCGGGCCTTGTTCACAAACGCTAGGGAGCCTTGATCGCGTAAGTTCAGATGTTCAGTAAGGGAAGGCTTGTAATCTGGGGATTACCTGTATTTTTTTTATATACATTTACTCTTTCTGGCAGAAAAAAACACTGGTTATTAATCATCTTGTACAGATACTTCAGCGAATAGCAAAGAACTATGCAAAACAGATAACTCCAGGGCAACAATAATAGAAGGAATATGAAAGCTACTGATCTGGACGGCGATGGTATCATGGACTTTATTCATGTAGTGAGAGGTGCTTATCAGACAGACTTCATCTCAAGTAATGAAAGTTTGGATTGTTATTTAATATATGCTGCTTTTGTGTATGCCTGTTTGGACTGATCTACTTCTAGTCTTCAGTGGGGACCACAATTTCCCTCATAAGTCAGTGTAGTCATAAAGCTGATTTTATCACATGACCAGACTCAAATTTTACCATGATCATTAAATGCATCACACAGTCGTTAAGGGAAACTGTTGACATTGCTTATCAGAAATCAGCTGGGAAGATCACAAATTGTGATCAAATAACCACAGGATGCTGCAACCTGTCATAAATGCAAGCCAGTTGCCCAAATTGCAGTCATATGACTGTGGAAGTGGTGCAACTATCATAAATTAAGAGGATGGATTATAAATCACTTTTTCTGAGACTGTAGTAACTTAGAACCATCATTAAATGGAACAGCCAAAAATCTAAGAATACCTGGATACCATTTTTAATTCCTGCCTTACATGCTTCTCAGTCAGAAAAAGACAAAGGAGATGCAAATGCAGGGAACTCTCACGGAGGAAAACCACAGTTAGTGAAGAAAGAGTAGAAAGTTGCTGGATCAACACCTGAACAGAATTATTAGAAATAAATTTAGCCAACAGAAGAATTACTGTTACAACTTAAGTGCAAGACCATGTTCCCAGCACATCTGATAGAATATGTATTCTTTCCTCATGAAAGAACATTCTACTCTGGTGGCTGTTTTGATGAAAGGGCATTGTTCACTAAATTGTTTTAACCAAGTCTGGACAAAGTTACCACATAACTTCTCCATCTATAACCATTCCCATAAGGCTGGTTGCAGGAGGCCTGCAGCATTTTCATGTGTCTTTTCCTAACAACTTCAGATGTAACAAAGGCACAATTATAGGTCAATTACTATAAGGGAAACAGGGACCAAAGTTTATATTTGCACTTTAGAATAGATTTGACATACTTTTCTATATGGTTTCTTGTTCTGACAATAGAAAGGGCTTCATTGTGCCCCTGAAAGAAAAATGAAGGACAGATCACCAGATGAAAAAAAATATCACCAGCTTGCTCAGGATTTACTGTAGAAGATGTCATGTAATATTAAAGAGATCAAGTCTTCAAGAAATCCCAGCCCTAGTCTCTACTGGTTTCTAAGCAGACTGGTTTCTAAGCACCAAACTGCATTAAGGACTCAGGTTGCCTCAGAAAAGCCTTTGTAAAAATTTGGCTGAACTTTAGTCAATTGAACACAGCTGGGGAAAGAACAAAATTGGATCTCAGGAGCAACTGTTATAGTAGTTTTCTGCCATAGGATTATATGCTCAGCAATCTCAAGAACATTTCTCAATGCTCTACAGATAGTCCTTGACTTATGGCCAAATTGGGACTTGAATGTCCATTACTAAGTGGGGCAGTTGTTAAGTGAATCATGCCCAATTTATGATCTTTTTTGCTACAATCATTAAATGAATCACACGGTCGTGTCTTCTCCACTGACTTGGTTGAAAGTCAGCTGGGAAAATTGCAAATAGCAATCACATGACCCAGTATGCTGCAACTATCCTAAATACATGCTAGTTGACAAACAGACAAATTTTGATTTTGTGACTATGAGGATGCTGTGACAGTTGTAAGTGCAAGGTCCAGTTAAGTTGCTTTTTTACACCACCATTGTACCTTTGAATGATCAATAAACAAATGGTCATAAGTCAAGGACTCCCTGTAGACTCCAATCTAGTATGGAAGTAAACTAATTTTTGATAATGACAGCCTACATTCAACATTAGCATAAACTAGGGATGAAATGATACAGTTCTAGAAAATTGATGAGGCTGAGGCACGTGAATGACTTTATGAAGTTTTGTTTTAGTTTTTGCAGCAGTTTAATTTTATTAAGCCTGTTTTACACTGCAATTTCATGTTTCCATTTCAAAATTATAGGCAGCCATCAATTTTGGCAGCTGTATTACTAAAACTGAATAGCTGGTTCAAGGGAGTCTCAGAGGGTAAATAAGTAGGTACAGGCCACAGATTTCTCACACTGATGCAATAATCTCCTTAGTATTTCCTTTTAAAGGTTCTTTAAGACCAAAAAAAAAGGAACAGAGGAAAGAGGAAGCCTGAATTATGTGGGAGAATGAGGCTTGGGACAGAGAAAATTAGATTAATATCCAGTACAAAAACTAAAACAAGGAATTAGTTTACTTAAGTCTGAGAAAGTTTAAAGTAAAAGTCCTGTAACATTTTGAAAAAATGGTTTGTACTTCTTTAGGAGATGACTTTAACTTCACACTCTTCTGCTATCAGGAATTATTCTTTCATCTGTTACTTTAAAAATCATTTTTTTCTCTTTTAATTAGAGTTTTTATATTTATTTGCATGTGAAACACATTGGATACTGTAGAGGTGGAACTGGGAATAAAATCTGGTGACTGAACCAGAACTGTAGATAACTTCTCTACAGTCTCTGGAAAGAATGAGAATAGGGATGAATCTTCAGTCTGTTCCCAAAATCATCTTAAAGGTCATCATTTTCCTGTTCAACTTCCTGCTGCAAGTTTCAGTCTTATAATTATTCTTGGCAAAAGTAAGATTTTCACCCAATCTTTTTTTTTTCTTCATACACAACTCAAGATTGCAAACATATCAAAACTCCTTCTTCCTATTTTCCCCACAGCAACAACCCTGAGAAATGAATTGGGCTGTGAGAGAGTGACTAACCCAAAATCATCCAGCCAGTTTTTCCTGCCTAAAGTGGGACTAGAACTCACGGTCTCCTGGTTTCTACGCCACCACACCTTAACCAATTAACTAATTGTTTTCACTGCTAGTTTTAAAGAAGATAGGCATTTCATTGGTTGTCTAGATCAAAAGTGATGACCATTCATTACTATATGTACTGTTTGTATGCATGTAAGTATAGATTATTTTGAAAAGGAAGAAGATAATCTTACCTTGGCTGCTTTGGACTTCAATAAGATGTTTCCTTTTGTGACAGGTGGTGAAAGTGAGTTTGCCTAGCTGTGATCCAGTAAAAGCTACTATTTGTCACAGTCTCTTTTTGAAGAAAAGGAATGTTGTGATGCTCCAGAAATGTTACTGTGGGATGACCTGTCACATAGAAAACAATGTCCTTTGTCAGATGCATATTGAAGAATTGGAGGAAGAAGGAACTCTATTATTTCAAAATGAAGCAGACTTAAGGGGGAAATCCTCACTAACCTCGTATATTTTATGAAGCCCAGAAAAAAATAAATTTCTTTGAATAGAAATGCCAAATATGGGAGTTAGATAGAAGGCAGAATCAATAAAGATAGAACTATCATCTTGGATATTAAGAATGTAAGATGTCTGGGACATCAATGCTGTATAAATCATCCTCTTTACACAGGAAACATGCTAGGTAAGATAAAAATAAAGGACAAAAATTGCAATAAAGCAACCAATCTTTGCAGGGTAGATTAGGAGAATACAGAGTATTAAAAAGTGGAATATCTCAAGAAGATAATGTCACTAAGTGGTATAATTTGTTAAAATCTCTTTAAAAGCAAAGTAAATTATATATGTGTATGTATGTATGTATGGTATTCAGCTTTGTTCAGGTATTTTCCCACGTCATTATAGTTGTGCTTTTAAAGTTGTAGCAACGTTTCGGCAGAATCTCATCTGCCATCATCAGGCTTCTGTATTGTGTTTGATACGTACACACACACACACACACATATTGATGGCACATGTGTTGAAAAGAAAAATGATTTATGCTTATATTATGTATTTTGTGTTCTTCAGCCCATCAGCTGCTTCCAATAGTGTTTTGATGTGGTTTTGCTGACTCACTTGAGGACTCAAGTGGGAGTAGAGATGAACTTTTTGTACTGCTGGTATTTTAAATTATTTTCTCCAGGAGAGGTCCCAGAAGGATAACTTGGGTCAGATTATTTTTATGCCCTAGTTGGTTTCACATGTGAAATTCTACTCTACTGTCTTGTATTCCATTCAAGAGCCCTCCCCTCCCCCACCCCAAAATATGTGAAGGAGAATGGTTTTTCTTTTTGCTGGAGATACTACAGTAATGTTTGCATCTTCCTTACCTCTATGTTCTACTGAAACTACTTTCTGAGATCTGTGGCACTGCCAGAACTGCAAGTGAACCAATAATGAATACAAGTCATGAGGGGATGTTGCATATGATGATTTATTTCTCAACCTTCAAGAGCCATTAGAGCTGTGCCAATCTGTCCCTGATGCATTACATCTGGTTTAGATGGAAATTAAAATGTCAGTCTGGGTGTCATCAGCATATTCATGACGTGTCCCAAACCATGGATAAATTTCTTCCAGCAGATTTACATAACTTTCAAAGATGTGGGGGATAAGATTCCATCTAGAAATCTAGAAGAGAACTCTTACAGATAAGGGAAACACTGTTCTGAAAAGTGTATTGGTGAGGTAGGGAGTCTGATCATCTTTTTACTAAAGCAACATGATTTAGTAGGCCAAATGATTAATCCAAAAAGATTAGAACATAATAAAAGTTCAAGAACCCATTGTCGGTGTTCCTCAGTGTCTAAGGCAGGAGTCCCCAACCTCAAGGCCACAACCCACTACCGGGCCACGGCCTGTTTGAAACCGGGCCACATGAGTGATAGGCATGCACATGAGTGAAGCTCCACTCGCACAAGTGGTGCGCCTTACGCGTCATTCCCACAAGCAAAGGGTGCTTGTGTGCAGGTTTGTGTGCCTGCCACTCATGCTGCCCCCGCGCAAGCCCAGGTTGCCAAAGTTGGGGACCACTGGTCTAAGGCATAAGTACAGTTGCTCCCATATGATAATATTTTAAGACATACTATTAATACCCAAAGTGTTGTTTGGTCAGATAACAAATAAGAAGGGAAGGGACCTTATAGGTCATCTAGTCCAACCCAAGCAGGAGACCCTACACCATTTCTGACAAATGGCAGTCCAATCTCTTCTTGAAGGTCTCAAGTGATGGCGCTCCCACAGCTTCCGACAGCAAGCTGTTCCATTGGTTGATTGTTCTCACTGTCAGAAAGTTTCTCCTTATTTCCAGGTTGAATCTCTCCTTGTTCAGTTTCCATCCATTATTCCTTGTCTGGCCTACAAGCACTTTAGAAAATAGCTTGACCCTTTCATCTCTGTGGCAGCCTCTCAAATATTGGAAGACTGCTATCATGTCTCCCCTGGTCCTTCTCTTCACTAGACTAGCCATGCCCAGTTCCTGTAACTGTTCTTCATATGTTTTAGTCTTCAGTCCCCTCATCATCCTGGTTGCTCTTCTCTGTACTTTTTCTAGAGTCTCCACATCTTTTTTATAATGTGGTGACCAAGACTGGATGCAGCACTCAAGGTGTGGTCTTACTAAGGCTTTATAGAATGGTATTAGTACCTCACTTGATCTCGGTTGTATCCCTCTGTTAATGCAATTTAGGATTGCATTAGCTTTTTTGGCTGCTGCTGCACACTGCTGGCTCATATTTAGCTGGTTGTCCACTAAGACTCCAAGATCATCATAATTAAGTTGTTGAATAATAATATGTTTGTCTAATAATTTCTGTTCAATTTGTGCCTGTGTGTGTATGTCAGCAAATCTGACACACATCAGAAAATCTTCCAATTTGCTGATAGGAAATTCCATAATTTCAACTTTGTACTGGAAACGTTTCCTTTATTTAACCCCAATCTCGCCTGGTTAGAAGGATGAAAAACTCATCACTTCTCTGGGCAATTTCTTCCAAAGCTCTTATTTTTAGGAAGTTTTTCCCTGACATTTTATTTCCTGTAACTTTCAATCTATTTTCCCACCTTTTCCAAAGAACTCGGCTAATGAAAATAGAAAATTGTTGTCCGCAACAATTTAGTTTAGTATTTTATGGATGCCTATATTTTAAATTATTAATACAACCACTAATTCAGGATTCAATCTTACATTAAACTGCTGAGGAAGATGACATAGGGAGTCTTGATTGCCATTTCTGAGATGTTTGATGCCTGAGTTAATTTGCAAGCATCCTAACCTTTCTTCTAAATTGAGGAAGAGAACTACAGTTGAATACTCAAGGAAAACCGTTGATCTTCAGACGTTATGAGGGAAGATCATATACTATATACACCACTAGTACACATTTTGTCACACTGTATTGCAGAAATTAACAAGGGGGCGGGGTGTTAATCACCACTTCTTGGAGATTTGATGCCTAAGGTCATTTGTAAGCATACCATTCCTCCTTTTAAATGAAGAGATTTTATAAAGGGAATAAATGAGTCAGTTCTAGATGACTAGACCTGACTTTGTCCATGGAAAGGGAAGGGCCTTCTAGGAAGGGCAAGTTCTCTTTTGCATGTCTTGAAAGACTTTTCCATAAATAGCGTCATGCTTGAAGAAAGCAAATACTCTGATTTCATTGTGCAACCCAGCTGCTTGAGGCATGCTATGCTTTATGCAAAAGTTATTTGTAAAGTGCTCTGATCTTGAGATTATATAAGTTTATAATTATAATAGATACATGCATGCATGCATACATACATACATACATACATACATACATACAAATTTATGCATGTCTCATTGTCTAACATGCCAGATTTCAAGGCAGGAGTCAAACTTCTATGAGACATTCCAAGTGGAATGGCTACTGAATGATTTCAGCTTAATTGATAAATCCATAAAATAAAGGCTGGCCAAGCACCACATGCTGTTTGCCTGCTTATTACCCCAGAATCAAATAATGAATTTACATCACTCCATAGAAAATTATTTGGTTTTCAACATGTATAGAACTGAATACCGCTTCCATGCATCTTAGGAAAAACAAAGGTTGCTATTTAAATATGAATTGTTAAAAATAAAAATCCAAAGTAAATATTATTTTAAATAGCAAATGCCTGTGATGAATGTCCTCAGTATTGTAGGAAAACAAATCTAAAGGGAAAGAGACTAATATCTTCAAAAGTTGGTCATTGTCATCCAAGTAAACTATTCTGAATTACTGAAATGTGGAAAAATTCAGTACTCAACATTTAGACCACAGGTGGTCCTTAGCTTTTGATGCCATAATTGTTTTTATCTTTTAATTCAGAAATTAGGGTAAGGACAGGAATAGGAGAAATTTGAGAGATAAACCACCTCTATTCTTATACTTAAAGTCTCCAAGAACTTCAAAAAGGGCCCCAGATCATATTATGGAAATTTGCAATTATGTTTACAAAGGTTGAGAGCAGGGGTGGGATTCGACACGGTTAACTACCAGTTCAGTGATTTATGAGGTTCGGTGATTTACAATGTGCTTCCCTGCACGCTGTGCACGCCTGTAAATCGTCATCAGCACGCTGTGTGCAGAGAAGCAGCCTTTGAAACAGCCCTTTTTTCCTGCTTTTTAAACTGTAGCTGTGCTTCGCACGGCAGCTGAAGTTGAAAAAGCAGGAAATAAAGGTCAGGTAAGAGCCCGGGCAGGCGGGTGGACAAAAACATCAGCAGACATAGAACCAGTTCTATGTCTGCTGCTCTTCAGAGCTACCGGTTCTACAGAGGTGGACAGAACCGGTAGAAACCCACCCCTGGTTGAGAGTGGAATCCTTCTCTTTCCACATGTATTCTTAACTCCCACTCAAAACAAGGCATAGCACCATGGACCCCACACTTTTCAGTGATACTCTTACATCAGGGGACCCCAACCCCCAGACCATGGACCGCTATCAGGCTGTGGCCTATTTGCAATCAGGCCAGTACACACAGCTCGACTTGCGCAAGTCGAGCTGCACATATACACTGGTTCACTCATGCAAGTTGAGCTCTCCTCCCCCACCAGGCTGCCAAGTCACAAAAGTTGGAGACCAGTCTTCCATTTACAGATGTTCTTCCCCTCCCCCCCCCATTGGCAAGCCTCTAGCAACTGAAGGCCAAGATGGTGCCTCTGAACCTTAAACGTTGCCCTTCCCACTGGTGATGAAGGTGTCCTTTTTCTCACTGAGAATGAAAAAGAAAGTTGCAGAACAGGCTACTTGGGCAAATTGAAGTTTTATTGTACCAGTGATAAGTCTGCTTCATGGACAAATTTCAGGGAGTTGTATCTGTCAATCCCAAAAGTTCATTATCAGATTGCTTTATTGATGGCAATTTCCTCCTTTGGGTAATGACAGAATCTGTGTTGACAGTACAAGATTTAAAATTGACATCTGATATCTGTTACTTTAGAATGATACAACAGTCATGTCCATTATTTCAGATGGAATGTCCAGAAGGCAAGAGCCCAGAAAAACGTAAATTCAAATAATCTAGATTTAAGATTGTTCAGAAAAATATCCCTCAACTTCAAACTCTTTTGAAGCTGGTTATATTAACTCGAGGTTTCACTGTACTTCTTTCAAAAGCTAAGAATATCTCACAGCATCAATTTTACGAGGCCAGTTCATTAACTATTAAATCACTGAATCTTTGGAGGCATACCAAAAAGTCTATTCATGCTGCTCTGTAAGATGTGATCTCTTTCTAGAAATTAAAACACAGTATTCTAGTAATAAGGTTATACTAAGATTTCC